GTACCGACCGGGGAACCGGGCACTGACACCGCGCACCGACACCGGGCACTGACACCGGGTACCGACAGGGCAACCAGGCACTGACACCACGCACCGACACCGGGCACTGCGTCGGGCACTGACCGTGCGCGACGGCGGCGGCGGCGGGAGCGCGCGACATGGGGGCGGAGGAGCCCGACCTCTACCGGGACACGTGGGTCCGGTACCTGGGTGAGCGCCGCGCCGGCACCGGGCACCGGGCACCGACACCGGGCACTGCGTCGGGTACTGACACCGGGTACCGACCGGGGAACCGGGCACTGACACCGCGCACCGACACCGGGCACTGACACCGGGTACCGACAGGGCAACCAGGCACTGACACCACGCACCGACACCGGGCACTGCGTCGGGCACTGACACCGGGTACCGACAGGGCAACCGGGCACCGACACCGGGCACTGCGTCGGGCACTGACACGGGGTACCGACAGGGGAACAGGGCACCGACACCGCGCACTGCGTCGGGCACCGACACCGGGTACCGGGCACTCGTACCGCGTACCGACAGGGGAACCAGGCACCGGCACCGGGCACTGACAGAGGGTACTGGGCACTGCACCGGGTACCGGGCACCGACACCGGGCAGTGACAGCAGGTACTGGGCACCGATATTGGGCACTGAGAGCGGGTACCAGGCACTGACAGTGTACCAGGCACTGACCCCGGGTACCGGCAGGGGAACCGGGCACCAGCACTAGGCACTGCGTCAGACACTGACACCGGGTACCGGCACCGGGCACTGCGTCAGGCACTGACACCCAGCACCGCACGGGGTACCGGGTGCTGACACCGGGTACCGACAGGGGAACTGGGCACCAGCACCACACGGGGTACCGGGTGCTGACACCAGGTACCAACAGGGGAACCGGGCACCAGCACCGCACGGGGTACCGGGTGCTGACACCGGGTACCGGCACCACACACCGGGTGCTGACACTCACCACTGCACGCCAGGTGCTGGTACTGCACACCGGGCACCAGTATCGCACCCTGCAGCGGGTCATGGCACCGCACACCGTTACCAGGTACCAGCACCTGGCACAGACACCGAGTTCTGTCACTGGTTCTGGGCACTGACACCAGTACCGGGGTTGGGCACCGGTACCGGGCGCTGGCCCCGTGCGGTGACACTGGGTACCGGGACCTGTCACCATCCCCAGCACCGGGCACAGACACCGGTACCGGCCGCTGTCACCGGTCACCGACAGCCCAGCCGTGCCGCTGGCAGCGGGGTGCGAGGTGACCCCCCACCCTCTGGGTGACACGGGGGGACATGTCTGGCCCTACTGACCCCCCCGCCCCCCAGGTTATGCCAACGAGGTGGGCGAGTCCTTCCGCCCGCTGGTGCCGGTGCCGGTGGTGTGGGCCAGCTACGGCGTGGCCACGGCCTACGTGACCGCCGACGCCATCGACAAGGGACGCAAAGCTGCCGCCGTGAGTGTCACCCCCTAACCCTAACCCT